CCCCAAAACCCCAAAACCCCCGTTAATGAGTAGATATTTGTGAGGATGATTATTTTATTTGAATGATAATAAATGAATATAAAAGTGAAAAGAAACAGAAAAATTTCTGAAAACTTGTTTCCATAAAACAACAATCAGTCTATAGATTCTCAAAAGAAAAAAGTGTAGAGAAATTTATCGACTAAAATCTCAAGTATAATTGATGAATAAACTACATATAAAAAGAAGGAATGATAGGAAAGTTCAGCTCTAATAGACTTGGCCAAGTGTTAAGACTAGGGAGTCATGCCTGCATTTGCTTATCCTATGATGAAATTCGATGATGACGATAAGTAGATGAGTTGGAAAACATTAGTTAATACAGTTGTTCAGAAGCCTCATGAAAAAGTGATACCAGTTTAGTAGATGCTAAACCTTCTTAAGGATTAATACGATGAATATTCAGATGTGTAAATAATAAATTCTTTATTTTACCAACTTGATTTATAGAATGAAAGCCTTTACATTTGGTTGGAAACTTAACAGATAGGGAAAAGGTATGTCAACTATAAAAGATAAAATAAAAAGGATTGAGGAAGCAAGACTTTAAAAATGGACAGTTAAGTGTTTACTGCATCATAAATCAACTTCAATTTGTGGTGAGAGAGATAAGAATTTCATGAGAGTGAGGGAAAATCTATATAGATTACCCTAGAAGTTTGCCTTCTTTTTAATTGATGATGATAATGAGGACATCTGGCAATGCTTAAAAAGATAGGTTTCTCATCCAAACTTCTTGCATTACTTACCCATGGAGGAATAAAACAAGCGACTCAAATTAGAAAGATAGGAAAAGAGCAGAAAAGGAACTAATGGTGAGGTTTTAAAATTGATTGATGAGGAGGAAAAGTTAAGAGAAGAGAGCAAATCTATTGCAGATAGCTTTGCCTTAGATTATTAAATACCGGAGTAAATAAAAGAGGCAGAAAAAAAAGCGTTATAAGAGATTATGGATTAGGAATACGAGGCCAAAATAAAAAGAGATTTAGCTATTAAGGAAATGAATATGAATATAGCTAATTACAAATTTAATAGGAGGAAATTCGGGAGAGATAATTAATCGAGAAATTTAATTAACTAAGATAGTGAGGGCTAGAGTAAGCTTATTTAATTTTTTCCTTAATCTATATTAGTTGAACTTAATGATAAAATAAATCAATTCAAAGATTCAATAACCCAATAGCAAATGGATGAATTAAGGCAGAGGAAGTTTGTTTAAGAGTCCATTAAAAAATAAAAAGATAAACTCTTTCAGCAATAATACCAACAGAAAAATAAAAATAACCCCCTTTTTAGAAAGATCTATAGATACAGGGATTGGAAAAATATATATCTAGATAGAAGTAATTTTAATACCATTGATGGATCGAGAAATCCTTTGTAAAGTATTGAGCGCTCTAACATTTACTAGTAAAATGCAGAGAAACCTTCGCTATAATCATTTGCTTCCCCAGTTTCAGCCAGCTTAAATTAGGATTCATTTTTAGATCAGATCATGAATAAAACATCATAACTTTCAAGCAATCAAAGATATTAGCAATCATTCTATTCAAATAAATCTTCCTAGAAAAAATCAAGATAGAGAGATTCAAGTTCTCAATTTAGTAGTCAGTATCAGTAAAAAAATGTCTACAAAAACATTGAAAATACTGAATTCAGTTCTAGAATAAATTATTCATTTAATCAAGGATCTTTAGGAGTGAGTTTAAATGCTTAACCTAAAAGTAAAAGAATCAGTCGCAGATATACATCAATCATAAATTCTCTATCAAGATATACTTGAAAAATATAAGATTTATCATATGATATAGAAATAATTTTAGTTTCAATTTCAATTTTAATTTCATAATTTCCAAATCCCTCAAATTAATGAAGTTGGGGTTTTGGGGTTTTGGGG